TTTAAGTCAGGAGATCCAGAAAAATTAGAAAATTACAGACCCATAAGTTTGCTAAATAGCTTTTCAAAAATCTTTGAAATGGCAATGTCCCTTAGACTGTTAAGTTTTTTTAATGAATGTAATCTGGTTAGTTCATCACAACATGCATATCTAAAGGGTAAATCGACAAATACAGCAATTTTTCAATTTACATATAATATACTCAAATTTCTTGAAGAAAATAAATTAGCTGCTGGGCTATTCATCGACTTATCAAAGGCTTTTGACTGCCTAAACAGAAACTATTTAAAAGAAAAGCTAAAAAATTATGGTATAAAGGGAAGAGCTCTGAGTTGGCTGACCTCATACTTATCAGATCGCTGGCAATGTGTGGAAATTCATAGGAACAATAACTCATCTAGATCAGGATGGCTGCAAAATCAGGTGGGAGTACCCCAGGGGAGCATACTAGGGCCGATACTATTCCTGGTCATGATAAACGATCTGAGCTCGGTGTGCAGCGGATTGGAAGAGTCTGCAATAACAAATTATGCGGATGACACCAATCTGCTGGTCGCCGGAGTGGATCGGCATGACTTGGAAGAAAAAAGCAATGAGCTATATTCTCGAGCAGAGGATTGGTTTGAGAAAAATGAACTAGTTATAAACGAGAGCAAGACAAGCATTGTGATTTTTCGCACTAATAAACTAAAAGAGAAACCATCAGCAATAAGTATCCATAATCAGGAAATTGACATATCAGAGCACACTAAATTTTTAGGTGTTATAATTGATGAATTTCTAAAATGGTCAACACACATTGAAAGTTTAGTGAAAAAATTGAACGGTGTTTGTTTTGCACTCAGAGTACTAAACAGATATGTAGAAGACAAAGTTAAAAAAATCCTTTACTATGCAAATTTTGAGTCTCGGATGAGGTACGGTATCATTTTCTGGGGAGTCAGTTCTTCAACACAATCAGTCTTTGTAGTCCAAAAGCGAACTATCAGGTTATTGCTTAACATGAGCTTCAGAGACTCCTGTAGAGGCAAATTCAGGGAGTTGGGTATTTTAACAGTTTATGGTCTATACATACACGAGTGCCTCTTATATTTGCATAAAAACAAAAATGAATTTTTAATACATAACACTAACACCACATACAATACAAGGACCACAGATATTTATTATCCTATTCATAGATTAACTTTAAGTGAAAAAAATCCATCTTATAACTGTATTAAAATATTTAATAAATTACCAAACGACTTTAAAATAATAGAAAACTACAAGGAATTTAAAAATAAAACCAAGAAATTGTTAATAGACATAGAACCATATTGTGTGAAAGATTACTTGGATATGTAATTTAAGTATATTGTTTTGTGACGCCATTTCATTTCATGTTATTTTGTAATGCTGTAATATGTATTGTAAAAACTTAATTTGAAATAAAGCTACTATTCTATTCTATTCTATTCTATTCTTAGTAACTCACCCTGTACATTTGATTTTTTTTTAAAAATTATTATAAGCCGCGACTAATTAGTAGATCGTGATGCATCTTCATCATGGGTTGACCAATTAAGCAACCATTGCTATTCCTGAATATATTTCATGTAGACTTTTTTCTCACATTCGATTTTTTTTTTAAATTCAACATCTAATTGGCATTACCTTTATTCCCTTTTCTTCTATAACTTCCTCCTTCTGAAGCATTTTGGATTTGTCGGTTTTCGCACCTCTGCTTGTCTTGGGTGTAGCTGAGATAGTTGGACTAGTAACAGAAGTAGCAGCCTTTTCAACAGAAATAGATGCAGTTGGACTAACAGTAGTTATTGAGGTAGAACAAATATTTTTTTTAGTCGGCGAATGCTCAAAAGATTCCTTTCTGATCACCGAATCGGGTGAAGAAGCAGAAGATCCTGTAGACTTTTGAGATTCCAACTTGACAGGAGATGGTGTTTTGGCTGATATGGTGCTGGGCGAAATGTTGTATTGTTTCCTCATAGAAGATAGGTATATGACATTGTACATGAAATATATCTAGAATTTTCCGCAGAATCTAGAAATGTCATAATATACAGGGAGATTCATTTAAAAAAACATAACTTTGTGTCACTTCTAGTTATTGGGCCACCCTGTATACTGGAAAATAATTTAGGGATGTAGTACTCATGTTTATCTACAAGTTTTGTATTTAGTTTTTTCTTCGATCTCCGTTAGTAAAGGAGATATGGACGACCGCGCGCTTAGTAACTCACCCTGTATATTATGGTCTATCGTCCTAGATTTTTCTATGAGCGTTTTGATTCTCCGCACTGCTTCTGGTGGAGAAAATTAATTTTCTCGCATTCCCGCACTAGTGCGAACAAACTTTTCCGCACAGTGCGGCAGAATTATTACGGCACCAAAATGTCAAATTTGAAAAACAAAAAAACGGTTGCTGTAAGTTTTAGTTCATCGTGTTGTCCAATGAAATGAATGTCTCTGAATTTTTATTTATTTATTTATTTATTCATCATTCAGATATCAACAGCCAGGGGCCAATTACAGACATCCACTTAGGAAGACTAACAGTAACATAAAGCTAAACTAAAACTAAACAATATGTGATTAAAATGACTGGTTGAAATTAATTTTGTACACAACACAAACGCCCTAAATCTCATCACGCAGTTTACTATCAAGTTTTACAAATTTTTTAAGATTTATTATCTTTATGTCAATCAGACCTATGATGTATCCTGTCCTGTTATTTTAACGGCTCTGTTAAGGCTCAACATCTATTTCCGTCCCTATTTTGACGTATAGGATAAACAGTGACAGATAACTTAACGCTGCTGTTAAAATAACAGAAAATGATACATCATAGGCCTGATTATCTGAAGCATATTGATTAAAAACTGAACACATTCTAAATATGGGTGAGTTACAGATTGGTTCTGGGAAACGCTAAATGGAAACTGTTTGAATTCCGTGAATTAATTCGATTTATCGCAATTCGTAACTGGCCAAGAATATCAGGTTCATCTATTTCAGCAACCTAAACAGTGTGCAAAGAATTATTTTGAATCTTCTTTTCTCCAATGACACTCTTCCAAAGGCACCCAACAAATATTCATTATTACATCCTCTTTGTGGGTAGAATTCATGCTTTCTATAATAGATTTTAGAAATTTCCTTCGTACATCATATTGAGGAGACCAAATTACGGAACCATATTCCAATACATATAGGCAAAACCAATATGTTAAAAAGATGCAGACTCATGTGAATGTGATCAGTGAAAGTGAAATTCACGTCAAAGATCAGACCTAATCTTCTTGTTTATCAACTCTTTCGATTTTAGTATTATTGTAAGTGTAATCATACTGATAAGAGTTTTTATTAAGGGTAAATGACATACACTTACATTTACTCATATTGAGATTAAAGCTGTTCGCAATACTCCAATTAGATACATTACAAAAGTCATTTTGAGGAATTTCACAATCCTCCATAGAATTTATTAAGTGAAAACATTTGAGATCATCAGCAAACAGTGAGCCTTTGACGTTTTCAAGATTACCTATAATACTATTTATAGCTGCTAGAAACAGAAGTCGGAGGTTAGAGCCCTGAAGTATCCCTGATGTGCTCTTGTACATCACTGATTTAGATCCTTTGATTTCTATATATTGAAATCAGTGAAATCTATGGCTAAGATAGGATTGTATTGAGTAAAATAGATAAGATGATACATCCATATCGTTTAGGGGTTTTAAAATGACGCAGTGCCTCACCCTATCAAAAGCCTTCTCATATCTGTGTATATCACGTTAACTTGTGACTTGCTATTTATTGTGTCATGAATATATTCACAAAATGTGATTAAGTTAGTAAAATTCGACTTTTTAGGAAAAAAACCATGTTGGTATGATGTTATTTTGCCCGAAATTTCACTAAACAATCGATCAAAAATAATTATCTGAAAAACATTAGAGACTGCACATATAATTGAGATAGGACACTATTTTTTGATGTCTTTTTTGGCACCAGCTTTGTAGGCAGGTATAACTTTGCTTGTGTTCCATTTATCAGCGTACACAGACGTTTTTAAAATAATGTTAAATAGAAATTCAAGAGGCAACGCCAAATATACAGTGTAGGGCTTTATGATATAAGCAGGTACTCCATCAGGACTTATTGCTTTGTTACCCTTAATCTTTATAATAGCCTTTTCAGTATCAGTCTTGCTAATCAAATTATTGCAGAAGTGCGACTTTACAGGAAATTTACTGCAAGTTTCGTCAACATCATCAATAAAAACTGATTTAAAAAAATCAGCAAAGCCGTTAGCAATGTTTTGTGGTCCAGTGTACGTTTTGCCATCATGTTTTGAATACCTTTATATTGAGAGAAACAGGAATGGATTTTAAAACGTGCATTTTACCTAGAATAATGACTGTTTTAAAGATAATGCTGCTTTTCATAATAAATGTGTTAAAATGTCCAAAATCCCAACAAAATCTATAGCATAGCAACAGCAATAAATTTCAGTAGGTACTGCAAATAAGTGTTCAATCCCAATAAATTGTAATAATAATAAAAAGTAAATTTCGACATGAAACATTACAGTTCGTGGTTGGTTTATTTTCCTCAAAAAATAATCACCTACCTTTTTTTCTGGGTAACCTAGTTTCACTCCTTATCTTCTTGAAATAAATAAATTGTAATTACATATTAGGAAGTGAGGTACTTTCATAAATTTGTGTTTGACGCCATTTGGGATTGGTTACCTAGGCAGAGCTAATTTGAAGGAATGTTGTTGATGTGAGTGAAGGTTTTTCGCAACTCCATCCACTTCTTTCTGTTCTGTTTGACCCTTCCACCTTTATATATTGTTTGATTCAACATCCCTGACTATTCCTGGGTTCTCAGCAACTTTTAGTGTATGGAGTATGAGAAAACATGATTAGTTAAACTTATTGGTTCATTCAAAACAAAATTAAGGTTTACTAAAGTGATATATTTTGCAGGATTGTCTCTTCACCAATAACCGTGGACCCACTAAGTCATGGCCCCACACCTTCCTGTTCGCCAATTGTTGACGTGGAGTCTTCCTTCCGTAGCCATTCTTCTCAGCTACTTGTGGTACAAAAAGAGGAGAATTGGAGCTCCAAGTGACAGTGGCGGAGGCTCAGAAGAGCAGAAAGTTAATAATACTGTGTCAGATCAGACTCTAATAGAAGAAGAAGAAGAAGAGGTAAGTGTTTATTCGATAAAGTTCAAGCACTGTTAGATTATAGGTGGCAAAATTCTAGGTTGCTAAATGTAAATTATAAAGTTTTCACTTGTGACACTGTTTCTTTGGTTGGTTGCAAGTTGCAACAAAGAATAATTATTAGAAAACTGATCAAATATTTATAATATGTACTATATTAAAGAGACAAGAATATTATTTTATTAACGGTAGGACACGCCGCAGGTCCTCTGATTGGTGATTTCCAGAGGCGAAATTTTGTTAGGAAGGAATTATTGTGTTTTCAAATTAGTCTAAGGCTCGGTTCATTCATCTTTAGATCAACTTGCTGGTAACTATCTCCAAGAAATTTAGCTATCTAATCCTATTGGTCGGCGGATAACTGGCCACCCAATGAGATTATATATTGCGTTTTTATCCGTCAGTTTATCAGAAGGTGAATAAACCGGCTCTTAGATCTTAACCCTTTATAGGATACCGGTCGATATATCAACCGGTGCGAAAAATTATATATTTTGAAGGAATACCGGTCTAAATATCTGCCAGTTAATAAAATGCGCCTTGTTTAACGCACACTGGTGGATTTTTCGACCAGATCACCAAAATTTAAAAAAATAGTTAGGAAACGGTTGAAATATCAACCAGTGTGTTTCCATATAATTCATATTGTGTTGTTGCTCCGCACGTTATTATTAATTTTTACCCATTCATTGTTTATATAAATGCCTGATATTTTGCAGGTGAGTTAGCTACTAATATAAGATTGTTATTATATAATTGTTTTGTTTATAAGGTTTGTCGCAGGGAAAATATTTGTACATTAGTTCTGACCTAACATCAAAATATATTTAAAAAAAAAATAGAAGTGATCATTTTAGTTTAGATTTTCCTGATTTTTAAATATTTTTGGGATAAACGATAGATAAAAAATTGTGTTTGGAAAAAATGGCAGATTTGGAGCCAAATGACCTGTTTGATATGAGATGTCCACTGTCATTTCGATATTCCGGAATGGACTCTGGTTGAAAAATCAACCACCTCAAAAAAACACAAAAAAACAGTAACAAAATCAAAATAACGAACAATACCTCTTTTCTAGACCGTAATAAACTCAAACACATTCTTATTTGGTTCAAAACCAAACTGCAATATTCTGCCCTATAAAGGGTTAAACTGGTTAAAGTCTATTCCAAGGTCTATTCTAAAAAAATTCTCAATAATTTGTTTCCTACAGACATTTTTAAAAATATAAATTTTGTTATATTACAATGATTTATTTGATATACTTCGTAACCCAGTCTACCTATTTATCAAAACCTAGTGAACATTCACTAGATACTTCAACTTGGATCTCAGTCATAGTTTTAAATACAGTCTATTTTTTCTGAGTCTCAAAAGGTTCAAATGTTTCGATGGCTCTATAGCTTTGTTCGGGTTCGAAAAAAGGACGTTTCTAAATTGGTTTAAAACAATGGCACAGTTTATTATTGAAATTTGTGATAGCCAAGCCGTTCTCATTTTGTTGTTTGATTTACTGTGCGATTGTTTTTAACCATTTTAGAACCGTCCTTTTTTCTAATCCGAACAAAGCTTTTGTTGTAAACTATTAGTCAGATATTAGTTAATTTTGTTTCCAAAATTTCAGTCAGGAATTACAACTACCCCGCAGAAGTTGACAAGATCCTTGAGTGGAGTCGAAACAACGCCAATTAATATCGTTTATCCACAGAAGCAACTCAAACACTCAAAATCCCATAGCCCCCCTGCAGTTATTTCAGACGAAGACCTCGATGTGGAAATTGAGAAGGTATATATTATTGAGGAAACTTTTGAGAAAACTTTTTTCAATAATTAAACGAAAGGACTTGAAAAACTAAAGAATTAATTTTGTAGATTAAATCTATGAGGAACCAATACAACATTTCGCCCAGCACCATATCAGCCAAAACACCATCTCCTGTCAAGTTGGAATCTCAAAAGTCTACAGGATCTTCTGCCTCTTCACCCGATTCGGTGATCAGAAAGGAATCTTTTGAGCATTCGCCGACTAAAAAAAATATTTGTTCTACCTCAATAACTACTGTTAGTCCAACTGCATCTATTTCTGTTGAAAAGGCTGCTACTTCTGTTACTAGTCCAACTATCTCAGCTACACCCAAGACAAGCAAAGGGGCGAAAACCGACAAATCCAAAATGCTTCAGAAGGAGGAGGTTATAGAAGAAAAGGCGATAAAGGTAATACTAATTGAAGGTGTTTGTTCCTTTGTGTTTTGGAATGCTTTCTACACTATTTTTTGACGGGAAACGCCCTTGCTGGTAAAAATAGCCCTCAAAGACCAAATATATGTTTGAAACGTCAGCATACTTTTTGAAGAAAGGGAGCTTTATTTCCAAAGTCCTAAACCCATTATCTCCACTCTATATTCATTGCTTTATTATTTCTAATCAGTTGTATGAACCAAAATAAAAATACCCTTGCTTCCAGTTGGCTTTAAAATGTCCTATTTTTTTAATAAATAATTTTTAAAAATGCTGTTTTCATACCACATATTTAAATGCCTACTGGAATGGCGCCAGTATGACGTAGATACCTATCCGACCAATAAGAATCGTTCGTTGGAAGACTGCTGAATCTATATTTTTTTTTATAAAAAATAAATAGTGTTGATATACTTCGTTTGTGTTCTAGAAGTAGAAAAAAAAATTAAAAAATCACTAAATTTCCCCATTTATGGTCTGTTTTAGATGACAAAAGAAAAAGATATCTCATCTCCGCCTAAAACCAATGAAAAGGAAGAAACTCAAGATCAAATCCGCAGAAGAAATTCTTCAGGACGAGACTCGGCCAATCACAGTCCATGCGATTTGTTGGTGACTGCCAGTCCCAGTCTTAGTTTTATTTCAGATAATCATAGTGAAGTAAGAATATAATTATGTATTAATTAAGGATTATTTAATATGTTGAAAACTTGAAGAGAATCTTGTATTAAAAAAAAAAACATTAAATTCTAGGGTTCCAATGACAGCGGCAAAGGTTGCAGCGACGCAGCTACCCCACCGCCATCTTCGCAAGCTGACAATGTTTCCATCAATTATGAATTCGTTATTCCTCAAAATCTGGTTGGAAAATTGATCGGACGTCAAGGAGTTTTCGTACAGAGAATCAAAGAGAAATGTAATGCTGAAGTTTATGTCAGCGATCATCCCACCAATACAAGATTAAAGGTGATAACTATCATTTTACTTGTTTTTTTTTTAACATATACTTACAGACCAGGAGATAAGGTACTGTTGAGTGGAGTAATTTTTGTTGTCTGGCATTTTGAGGTACGACTATGGCTAGTTAGCTGATGAGAATATGGGTGATTTTAATTATGGCTCTGAAAAACGCTGAAAAATCACCAGACGGTAAACACAGTTTGAAATCGAGTTTTTCGCGGAAAATTCTGTGGAAATTTCGAATAGGGAGCAGGCATTAAAACCACTCAATGGTACCCCCTATCTCATGGTTTATTATTTTATAAATAAAATTAGTCGTTTAGTTTATGTTTGATGACTGGAGGACTAATTTTTCGTCATATTTTTTCAGCTGTGTAGCATTGAAGGAACTCATGCTGAAATTGACAAGGCTCTGAAAATGATACGAGACAAATTTCCATTGAAAAAATATTCCGAAGTCAGTTTAGAGAAAGTTGAATTGGCTCCAATCGTACAAACAGTTTCTCTTATTCCGGACCACTTATATGTAAGTACACGTTATAGCTCTTTGTTCCAACAAAGCAGGAAACCGTACAATGTACTATCAAGAGTCTGCGCAAAGCCTTAAATTTGTGTGTAGAATCCGAAATTCGTAGACAGAGTCGTTTCCAAACCGTTCATGGCACGGTTTTGGACGTGTTGGAACAGACCTTATAAATTATGAAATATTATTAGGCTCGCCAGTTGGACATAATTTTTCCTGAAATGGAAAAATATTTAATTCCAAATACTTATGTGACGCGCGACGCGCATGGAAGTTTGCACGCCGAGCGTAGCGAGACGAATCAAATCCATGCAAGCCACATAAAGAATACTTATACTCTGAATGAAATACAATATTTTATTTTCAAACCAAAGCCATACTAAGTAAAAATACGAATAAACAAAGAATATACAATGGAAAATACTATTTATCTATAGTAATAAAATATTCTGCTGTATTCGAATGTAACTCATATATAAATTGTCTAAAAACACTAGCCACATTAATTAAAAAAGGACATCGAGTTTCCAATGTGGAATGCAATGTTTCTGACTATTTGATTAAATTGCAGATTTTGTTTTGAGAAATACAGTCAGAATTAAGTAATTAATTACCTTTTTTACAGTTAAAACTTATTGAAGGCATCAACAACGACACAATCCTAAGCTGTATGGTAGCACCGGATCATCTCTTCATGCAACAGCCTACACATCCTGCCTTCCAAAGTCTAGCCATGCTCAGTAATTGTATGAATCATTGCTATGAAAGTCAGCCTGATTCGCCATTATTGCCAACTCCTATACCAGGTAATTACTTATAATTTCACTACATGTAGATGAGTCCACATAATTTGTTCTTCAAGAGAGTTTTATTGTTTGACTTAGTAAAAACATTGATATAAATTTTGTTTCAGAAAACACTGTTTGTGTAGCTTACTCAGAAGGCGCCTGGTACAGAGCTGTAGTCTTGTCCTCAGATAAAGAAACTGAGTCGTCCTATATAAAATTTTTAGACTATGGTGGCTATTGCTATGTTGAAAACGACAAATTAAGACAAATCAGACAAGATTTCATGCTGTTGCCATTCCAGGCTGCCGAATGCTTTTTGGCCAACGTTAAACCGAAAACTGGTAAGAAAACAATAATTAATATTGAGAATATGTGAAATTAGAACTATTGATCCTTATCTCATGTTCTGCCAAATCTACAGTTCAATCTTAAATAATTACTGATTTTAAATTTTTCCATGATCAAACAAAATGATGTCAGATAGTTTTAAACTTTGACACAAGTTTAAGCTTGATGAAAAAATGGTAAATATCCATTTGCAAATGCATTTAAAGTTGCAAATGTGTTTAACCCAATGAAATGTATTACTTTTCATTTGCAACCTTTTCATAATACTGAACTATAATTGTTCAACTGACTAGTGGGTGACTAATTGATTTTTGAAATTTTTTTGGTGATTGACTTTGATATATACAATGTCTCCAAGATAAGGTGGGCCAGTACAGGGATCTTTGAAACGCTAAGAGATACGACATCGCTTAAATTTTAAAAAAAGTTTGTACTCATTGAAATGGCGCGTTGATGTTTTAAAAATTCCTAGTGCTATAGGAGATATCCGGGAAAAACCAAAATTTTACAAAATCGATTTTATTTTTTTTTTTGTAAGCTTATTTGAGGAGATATTTCAAAATAAATGTCACTTCATCGTAACAACTTTTTCTACTCTACAAGATGACATTTTCATCTGACATTTCGTCTTTCGGCCACCATAAACTTCATTTTCTTAAATACGGCCCTTGATTTTCTATTTCAGATTTTAAGAACTATAGGTATACCTATGACGTATCGCATTTAGTCGAAAAATTTTTTTTTTTCACTTTCTAAGTTTTTAGTAATTACCGAGGTAATTACCTACCAAAATTCTCTTCTCTGTCTCTCTCTAACACATTAAGTTCTTATGAAAAGTGCTAATACAGGGTGTCCCACGGTGGATGGCGTATTAGACGTTTATGGAGAACTAAAAAGCGAATCATTTTGAAAATTTGGCAACCCGGATAAACGACCATGATCTACACTTTAAAAATATTTTTGACCATGCGGTGTTGCCGCTTCTACTCTAAACTAGTGGCAACATCACTATTTTAAATGGAACACCCCGTATTTAATTGCATATTTGGATTCTACGTAAAATTCTGAGCAGATTTCATGTGATATACCCTATACCTAAGTTCAACTGTTTTGGAAATATTGACAGTTGAAAATTGACTTTTTGCAACTTTGACAGGCTGTAAAACCTGATTGGTTAATTTTAGAGGAAAACCGATTTCACATTCCTATCTTAGATTTTGATAAACTATCATTTAACACCAACTTTGAACTTAACCAGAGATTAAATTTAACTGAAATTTTTAATCATGGATTTAATTCTAAGTTGGTGTCAAATGATAGTTTATAAAAATCTAAGATAGGAATTTAAAATCGGTTTTCCTCTAAAATTAACAGTTCAGGTTCTAAAGCCTGTCAAAGTTGCAAAAAGTCAATTTTCAACTGTCAATATTTCCAAAACAGTTGAACTTTGGTATAGGGTATATCACATGAAATCTGCTTAGAATTTTACGTAGAATCCAAATATGCAATTTAATACGGGGTGTTCTATTTAAAATAGTGATGTTGCCACTAGAAGAGTAGAAGCGGCAACACCGCATGGTCAAAAATATTTTTAAAGTGTAGATCATGGTCGTTTATCCCGGTTGCCAAATTTTCAAAATGATCCGCTTTTTAGTTCTCCATAAACGTCTAATACGCCATCCACCGTGGGACACCCTGTATAGTTATTTTCCTAACAAGTGCGCAAAGTGATACTTTCCCGCACGAAAAAGCAGTTAGAGGACGACGCGAAGCGGAGTTCGGATAAGCTTTGAGTGCGGGAAAGACACTTGGCGCTAGTTAGGAACAATATTTTTTTTACGAGTATCTTAAAAAAGTAGACTTTGAATTGTTAAAATATTAGAAAAATCAATGAAATCAAAATCTTCAAAGATCGTTTAAAATCTATTGGAATTCCTCAGAATGTCTTTTAAATATACAGGGTGAGTTACTAAGCGCGCGGTGGTCCATATCTCCTATACTAACGGGGATAGAAGAAAAAATTAAATACAGAACTTGTAGATAAACATAAGTACTACATTCCTAAATTATTTTCCAGTATACAGGGTGGCCCAATAACTAGTAGTGATACTAAGTTATGTTTTTTTAAATAACTCTCCCTGTATATTATGACATTTCTGGATTCTGCGGAAAATTCTAGACATATTTCATGTACAATGTCATATACCCATCTTTAGGACTATATATCTGTAAGGAAACTGAGAAAAGTCTCTTTCTAACTCATTGTTTCTTATGACAAAAACCGAAATAGTTTTTTTTCTTGAAAACTGTTAGAGATAAACCTATTGAAATTTGTATCATTGAAATCAGCAAAAGCAGAGCTTTCTAATGAGCTATTAATATACAGGGTGTATATTTTAAGTGATACCACTATTGCTATATCCGAAACGGTAAGAGGTACAAGGTCGGGTAAATTGGAAAAAAGTTGCCTTTTTTGATGTCCATTTAAGATTATTTTACAGTGTTGCCAAATTCCTTTTAGTTTCTGAAATACAAGTTAATAACTAGGGCCGAATTTAGGTGAAATTTTGGTACAAATCACTGATGATCATTTTTAGATCTGAAACGTCGCCCAATCATACTCAATAGGTGTATTGTTGAAAAGGGGATAAAGGGTGCAATGGTGCTTTCTAAAAATGACATAAAAAATTCAGGTCCGTGTTTAAAAATATGAAGTTGATGATGGTAGCTCAATCACGAAACGTCGGATTCAAAATTTGAAGATGCCATGTTGTAGAGCGAAAAAAATTATAAAACTTTCAAATTTAAATTGTGTTTCAAAATTTAATAGTTATCGAAATAATTGATGAAATATTTATAGGCATTTCTTAGAAATCACCCTGTATTTCAACTAAAAGGAATTTGGCAACACTGTGAAAGAGTCTTGAATGGGCATCAAAAAAGGCAACTTTTTTCTAATTTGACCGACCTTGTAGCTTTTACCGTTTCGGATATAGCAATAGTGGTATCACTTAAAATATACACCCTGTATAGGGTGTCCCATTGAAAAAAATCGGATTTTGGTCATTATCTTGAAATCCAGGCCCAATAGAAAAAAACTGAAAACGTCACTGGATTCTGCTTGAAAAAGTGCTTCTAGGAAGTTTTTACGGAAATCAGTTATTTTTATAAACAAAAAAGTTATGAAGATTTCACAGTATTGCTCAAAATCGAGAATCGCCCTCTAGCGGCTAAACGGTTGAAGATATCAAAATGCGGTTTGCACCAATCAAAATTTCAAGAAATCTGAGCCTCGGAGTGGGGGGTTCATTTTTTTGTATCTCGCTCAGAAATTGATGTTTCCTATTAAAATCATCCAAATTCGGACACCCTGTACATGTCCGAACCAAATCAGCTGTTTGTCCTTTATATCATCTATTATTGTGTGTTTTACGTCCATAATCTCCCTAATTCTCAGATTTGTTATCCTCTCCATTTTTGACCTGCCTGCCGATCTCCTCCAAAAGTCCATTTCAGTTGCTTCCAGCATTTTTGCGGTTCTGTTCTTTTGTGGCCAGACTTCTGAACTATATGTGACTATGCTTTTGACTATGGTGTTGTATATTGGTGACCTGTTTGATCAAGGAGAGCAAGTCCGACATTAATATTGCTCCTCATTTGTGCCAAGTTTTATTGTGGAAAAGTTACTCAAAAATTCTGAAATTTTGGTGAAGTGTCTGTTAAGATGTTGTGCAACTGTCCTGCAAATTTGATAAAGATTGGCTAAGTAGAACTTTGATAAAAATAAAAACTATTACACTAACAAATGCGGCTAGTTCGAATTAAAATTTATTCAGAGTTTCTTATCTGCAACAGTAAACTTTTTGTGTGCCTGACCTTCTTCTTTTATTTATTTATTTTTACCTATTGGGTGATTCTCGCAGAAACAACTGTTCCTTGCAGTTCAGCTTGTTTTGAACTATTTTTGAACAATTTTACTAAAACAAATGGCTACTTTTTTTGAATGTTGTAAAAAAAAGGCTCATACCAATTTAATATGTTTACAATGCCACAGTGTTTTTCACAATAGCTGTCTTAAAAGACGCCGAGGGGTCGAAATCATTCGCGACAATCTTATTTACTGCTCAACAGACTGCTCAGAACTGGCAAACCATGGAGACCCAGATGCTCATTCTGTATTTCGGCAAATTTTAAATGAGCTTGAAACAGACCTTAACGATAAGACAAATTATATAGACAGGCTAAAACGAGAAAAAGAAAGTCTCTTAAAAGAGGCAGAAACTCTAGAACTTGAACTTATGGCTGAAAATAACCTCTTGAAAGGTGAACTGAACACACTTAAAGCAAAAAGTTGTTTGCCTACACAAATTCAAATTTCTACAGAGACACAAACTCACCACAATAAAATCCTCATGTTGAATAGTTCGTGTCATACTCAGGAATACCTAGAGGACACTGAAGCCAAGATCGCTGAACTGGGGTTCTCTAGACATGCCTTGGAGGTCCAGTCTCAGTTAAACAAAAGCGAGCTACTTAAATCAGCTGAAGAAATATCTGAGTTTCAAACTATAAACTCTCAAATGCGCACTACAATTGAAACTCTCAATCAAGACAATAACTTTCTCACTAAAGAATTGGAGAGTCTAAAGCTAGTTTTCTCAGAATCATACCCTTCTGATGGAAGATCTGTCATCGGGGCTGCTTCGGGGAACACCTTATCCAGCGAACTTTCTGCAGCCAATTCTATGACACAAAAAGCGCAGAAATTGGACCTAGAGGACACTGAGGCCAAGATCGCTGAATTAAGGTTCTCTAGACATGCCTTGGAGGTCCAGTCTCAGTTAAACAAAAGCGAGCTACTTAAATCAGCTGAAGAAATATCTGAGCTTCAAACTATAAACTCTCAAATGCGCACTACAATTGAAACTCTCAATCATGACAATAACTTTCTCACTAAAGAATTAGAGAGTCTAAAGCTAGTTTTCTCAGAATCATACCCTTCTGATGGAAGATCTGTCATCGGGGCTGCTTTGGGGAACACCTTATCCAGCGAACTTTCTGCAGCCAATTCTATGACACAAAAAGCGCAGAAATTGGACCATGGTCAAACCGACATTAGAAAGATCAAGGTTCTTGTACTTGGTGACATTAGTTCAAGGGGTGTAGCCACAGGGCTGCTCAATCAATTGAACAGGGAGGAGTATTGTGTTTATGGAGAAAGTCATCCTGGATTCACCTTATTGCAGATTGCAAATAGAGCTTTTGAGCTTACAACTGATTTTCATTATTTCGACAGCGTTGTCATCTGTCTTAATTTAAGTTTTATTAGTAATATAGGCAATTATTATTTGAGGTCATTATTTTCAATAGGAAGGTATACAAATCTGATTTTTTCATTGACATATTCCTTAACAAATAAAATTTATGAGTATCAAAGGTATGTGTCTTTTTGCAACAATGCTCTTGATTGTAGAAATACCTCGGTTCGTATTTTAGATAACACTATTGTATATGGTAAATTTAGAATATCAAAGGATTCCCTATGTAAAACTTTGGCGCTATACATCGGAGCGAGTTGCAAAATGAGACATATTTTTTCCTTATCATGCATTAAGTATGCTGACTCAGCTAATTTTAATGATTTTAATAATTTAAGTGACACGTCTGATTTGACTTTTTTAGAATAAGTTCTGACAATTGCATAAGTATGTTGTTGTTAAACATTCAGTCAGTGCGTAATAAGATTGATCAACTAATGGTTTTCTTGGACAGTATAAATTTTCCTAATATTTTACTACTCACTGAGCATTGGCTTAATGTAGACGAGCCGCTGGTTGTACCAGGGTATATTGCTGTTTCAAAGTATTGTCGAACCATAAGCCAACATGGAGGTACTGCCGTCCTAATCAACCAAAATGCTTATGATATATTGGACTTTAAATCATGTAATCATCTTGATCAACTTTTGCAAGAAAAACAATTCGAATTCTCAGTAATTTTCTCGAAAAAACTAAACCTGTGTGTGGTATGCATTTACAGATCACCTAATTCAGATATATTCGGTTTCCTAAATAAACTAGAACAACTGCTTGTTAAACTTCCATCCAAGTGCCATGTAGTACTGGCTGGTGATATAAATGTTGATTACTGTGATGCTGACTCTAATGTAGCTGCTTCTGTCTCTAACCTCTTAACCTCATTTAACCTCACCATGCACGTTCACTCATTTACTCGAATAACTGAATATTCTGCCACTACAATTGACTATTTTTGCTCAAATATACAGGGTGACGTAGCGTGTGAGTCCCTTGATGCAGCCATTTCTGACCATAATGCTATTGTAGCGAAACTTCCTCTATTTTTTACTTCAAAGAAGGCTAAACACAGGGTTCGAAAACGCATTTTTAGTCGTCATAACTACCAAATGTTTCATCTAGAATGTGACAGGCAAAATTGGAACTTCCTAGAATATGAAAATGATCCTCTAACAGCTTTTCATTCAGTTGTTTGCACTTTAATAAACAAATGTTTTCCTCTCAGAAACGTAAAAATAAGAACTAACTCAAAGTCTTGGTTAACTAAAGGAATTAGAACTTCTGCTGCAAATCTACGTTGCCTTAACTCCTTGCGCAAACACTTTTCTGATAACCACTTCATAAAAAACCACTACTATCGATATCGCAAAATATACAGAAAACTTATAGAAAAGGCAAAGCAGAATTTTTACTCTTTAAGACTTCAAACATCCACGAATGTGTCTCGAACAGCATGGAATATTGTTAATGAAATAACAGGACGCACAGAAACCATCTCTCGAGACATTCCTTTGGACCCAAACGATCTTAACAATTTCTATTGCTCAATAGCTGAAAATCTTACTAAAAATCTACAAAGTAATAAAGATCCACTTGAATACCTACGAGTTGTAAGAGTTCCAAATGTATTCTCTTTTCTTCCAACTAATCGAGATGAAATAAGGCAGACCCTTAACACAATGAAGAATCTAAATGCAACTGGATATAATGGTATCTCCCTTAAAATCCTAAGGGAACTCTCCCTCAGCTCCATTGCTGCTCTGGCTGATGCCATAAATTCATCTTTTAGAAGTGGACATTTTCCTGCATGTTTGAAGCCTGCCACTGTCAAACCCATACATAAGGGGGGGGATACAACATCTCTCTCGAACTATAGACCAATTTCCCTGCTCTCCACTCTCTCAAAAGTCATAGAAACTCTGGTCAGCAAACGTATAGTAGACTTTTTCAATGAAAACAACCTCTTAAATAAAAGTCAATTTGGTTTTCAACATCAAAAAAGCACAGCTGATGCTGTCTTGTATTTTATGGAGGGCCTCTTGGGTTCGTTGAATGAACAAAGGTCATCTGCGGCAGTTTTCTGTGATTTGTCAAAAGCCTTTGACTGCGTTAATCACGGATTGCTGCTGCGGAAGCTTAACATATACGGATTTCAGGGGAGCGAGCTCGGGTGGATGCGGTCATACTTAACGGGACGCACGCAGTGGGTCTCTTCAAATGGCACTACTTCAGAAGAAAAACTCATCCAGAATGGTGTACCTCAAGGCTCTGTCCTGGGACCCATTCTCTTCCTCATTTATATAAATGACCTCTTGAGCCTTGACCTCTCGGGTGATATTGGGGCTTTTGCCGATGATTGTACTGCTTGTTGGTCGCATAAGGATCCAATTATCCTTCATAACATGATAGCAACTGATATAAAGAAGATCAAGACCTGGTGTGATGCTAATCACCTATCCCTCAACCTTTCAAAAACACATATGATGACTTTCAGAAACTGTACTCTTAATAACATATCTATTGAAGACCATATTCTTGACATCGTAGACTCATCCAAGTTTCTAGGGTTGAATATAGATTATAGGCTTAAATTTGACGCCCACATAAAATCATTAAATAAAAAAATATCCTCAGGTTGTTACTGTGTTAGGGTCACTGCTCGGGAACTTGGTAAATCTGTAGCGAGAACCACCTACTTTGCTTTGGTTGAATCACACCTAAGGTACTGCATTGCGTTTTGGGGTTTTTGTAGTCAGTATTTATTTAATTCCACCTTCATCCTACAAAAAAGAGCCATTAGATTCATGTGTCAATCCCATTCACGGGCACACTGTAAACCACTTTTTATTGAAAATAAAATCCTTACCTTGCCTTGCATCCTCATCTTAGAAACAGTGTGTCTCATTCATAAACATCTTTCTCATTTTTCAAACAGCAGAGTTTATCAGACTCGAAATTCACACGATCTTTGCCTACCCATCCCCAACTTGGAATTAGTCAAGAACTCTATCATTTACAATGGTCTGAAAATGTATAACCGCATACCACTGGAGATTCGAGAAATCAGTGACCTCAAAAAATTTCGACATAGTTGTAAAACTCTTCTTGTTGATTTGGCTTTCTATTCGTATGATGAATTTTTTATGCATAATTTGTAGTAAAACTTATTTGTTGTGTTGAGTGTGACGGTTTTTCTTGTGTGGCTAATTTTAATCTGTTTCTAACTGGAATATATAGGTGTCAAGCCACATACTTTTGTTAATTGTACCTGATTTTTTGTTTTTACTGCCTACTCCTTTTTAAATTATAAATGTATTCATTTTAAGATTTTCAAATGTTCCTCGCTCTGTGCTTTTTATATTTTATTATTTAAATGTGTCCCATTTCATTGGTCTTAGTCGTACATTGTTCTCTCTTTCAGATACTTATTACTAGTTTAATTAGTTCTAAGTAGGTTTTAGTTAGGTACTAAGAATATGTTTACAACCTAAGCTTGGACAATAAGATTTCCATTTATATGTACTTCTTGGTCAATAAAGTATGTTCTCTCTCTCTCTCTCTATTCTCGTTTTGTTAGTTTTGTTGATATTTTGATCCCACAGTACACCATTTAGTAGGGATATTGCCTTGCGTCCTTGTATATTCCTATCTTTATTTAATTGCTTCGTCTAGGCTTCCCTCGTGTGAGATTTTCATGCCCAAATATTTGTATTCAGAACATTGTTTTATTTCTTGTCCGTTATTCAATTTCAGATTTCGTTGTTCACCTCCTATAGTAATATATTCTGTTTTCGTTAGATTTACTTCCAAACCCCATTTCTCGTATTCCTCTATCAATTTTCGTGTCATGTACTCTAGGTCATCATAGTCCTGTGCAATTAATAGTTGATCATCTGCAAAGCCTAAAGTATAAAGATTGTATTCATTGAGCGGTATTCTCATGTGTCTGCATTTGTTTTTCCACCCTTTGAGCGCTTGTTCTAAGTATATTTTAAAAAGTGTTGGTGATATGCAGCATCCCTGTTTAAGTCCTTTAGTTGCTATAAAGCCTTTACTGATTAAGTTTCCCTGTTTAATCTTGGTCTTTGCATCACTATAGAGCGTTTTTACTGCCTTTATTAGTTCTAAGTTGATATTGGTCTTTTCCAGTGCTTCCCAAAGCTTTTTCAGCGGAACATTGTCGTATGCTTTCTTTAGATCGACAAAAAGTAAATGGAGTTCTTGGTTATAGGCTAGTTTCTTTTCCATTACCTGGGTCAGACTGAATAAATGGTCTACAGTTGATCTTCCTGCTCTAAAACCGGCCTGTTCTTCTGCCTCACTATCTTTGTACTCGTTCTTTATTCTGGCTTTTATGAGTTTTCCATACACTCTGCTCAGCGTATTTGTTACTGCAATTCCTCGGTGGTTCTCGCATTTGTTTCTGTCTCCTTTCTTATATATCGTTGTTAAATAGCTTATTTTCCACTCTTCCAGTACTTCTTGTTTATCTATGCATGTTTGAAATAGTTTTGTTAAATGTTTGAAGTATGTAATATCAAAAATTCTACAAATTCCTTGCAGTACATGCTAGTCCCATTTTATAGGAAACATCATGTTAACTAAGCGCTAATTTCAACTAAAACCCTTCATTTTGAGTATTAGTTTATTCAGAAACCATCAAAAATAGTCGAGCTACCCCTTTTTTTTTAACTGCTATATTTTTTCATTCTTTTGCTATATTTATTTCTTCATCATTTTTACTAATAAAATATTGTATTTACAGAGGATGGTACCTGGCCACAAGGGGCTTACGACCTGGTAGCCAATACCACCAAAAGTTCAGTAATCTACACCCAAATTGCTGATTATACTCCTGACAGAGTACCCTTAGTTTTGTGTTATGTTATTCTTAATTCAAAGGTGAGCTTAATCTTAGAAAACTTCCTTAAAAAATTAATTATTTATATGAAATAAGTTACTACTGTTGTGACCACAACTAGAGATAGGCTGGTACTTTTTTTTTTGACTGATCCAACTTTTAGATTAAATAAAGATTTCAACCAAATCTGGGGACTTTATTTTTATTTTATCTTGAAAAACTACTGATTTAGAATTTTATTTATTCTGGTTGGCAATCCTTAACATTCATCAAATACTGCCAAATAAAATTATAAAATGGCCTCAAGATAAATAAAATATAATCTAATTAGTTATTACTATTAAATATTTCTATTCCTAATTCTTATTACTTTATATTTCAGAACGTGATATTTATTAACCAAAAACTGGTAGATGAAGGCTACGCAGATTGGGTTGAGTTTGACGAGACTGCCTTGGCATAAGCGCAGAAAGTAGCTGGTGAAGTATGATCCTTCACAGGCGTAATTTTGTTGATTTTCCTATTTTTGTTTTAATTTATTAATTGCTTAATCATATTACGATGATACGATAGGGTGTTTATCAACATTGAGGGTAATTCTTACGTTAAAAATTTCCAGAAGTTTGATATATACCCTGTGTAATATGATTTTGTTTTGTGCTAGGGGGTAGTGGAAGGGTGGATATTTGGTGTATTATTTCAAAGGTTTCTGACTCAATAGCATATCTAGCACACTAGCCATGTTTTAAGGTTAAAAAAAATTGTTGAAAATATGCCAGCTTACCCTGGTTCTGAAAATAGACTCGACTAGTTTTTTTTTAAACTGATTCAAGTTGTTTTCCATGAATTTCATGTGCTCCTGTTTTTTAATGGGAGGGTCTGTAATAAGAATAAACATGCATCATTTTGATTGGGATATGTCTACATATTTCATATAATATGAGTTTTGTATGTTTGTTACTTATTTAACTATGAGTTCCTAAGTATCGAAAAAAAGAATATATAAATTGAAACAGAATCAAAAACAATTACTTTTTTTTTATTATATTTCTGATCTACACTATTTCTCTTGTTTTCCAAATTCCTTTTTTCCCTAGCTATTCTCGGTTTTTGTACATTCTCAGTAACAATTCCCCATAATTTTTACTAATAGTTCCCAAAATTACTACTAATTGTTTTTCAAAATTCCCACTAATATTCTCCTCAAAATTCCCACTAACGTTTTCCATAAATTTATATTAACATTAGGAGCTTAGGAACTTATAAATCTATCCACAGATCCACACCATACAATTTAATTTGACACCGGGTTCCACAACTGTAATTTGTTAAACTTGAACTGATCGCACTGTTGATTTTAACTGTGAATTTTTTTTTTGGCTGGTTACAGTTCTGAGTCGGAAAGGTTTGAAATGAATATGTATATTGCTTTATGTGCACAAAGTTTTATGTGTGGTGTGTCCTGAAAAGCTTTACCCAAGTGAAGTTTTTTTGTAAATAATTTTAAGGCTTTTTTGAGCTGGTGCATGTATATTTACAGGCAAAAAAAATTTTTAATAAAAATTATCCTTTGGTAATTTTTTTTAGGTGCACTGTACATATTTTTTTACTGCGGATTAGCAACAACTAGTTTTATGTAGGTATTTATTAAGTTTTTTTTAATATTTTATAATTAAAATTGATAGATTTTAGTTTAACGACTGATGATAATTGATCCTATTATACTGGTGTGTCCCAGATATTAATAAGGCTTTCAGCTCGGTTTTTAACTAAAACTATTTCTCCCATTATCATTTACCTTAGCTTAACAGAAAAAAATAGGAAATACTTAGACATTTGCATGATGTATCCTTTATGTGACTCTGATGGGGTTTTTTATGTTTTATTTTTGTTTGACTTTATACTTTGGTTCAAAATTGTATTATACTTTATTTGAAAAAAAAAATTAACCTATAATTTTGAGTATTTTTTGCCCATAGATTAGTAAGGACTTTGTTTTCCTGAATTGCAACAGTTTTTCAAATATGTAAACAAAATATTAGTTTTTTTTTTTGCCTCAACATCAAATAGGTGAAACTAGCTTTGGAAACAAAAATTAAAATCAAGACAATAAATTCGCCCAATTTACAGTGTCCACCATGATGTTGGCTACATATAGAACAACTTTTTATTTGTAGGATTATTTTATGTGCGACCAATCCTGCATGTTGGATAAAAGTGGGACTGGATCGCAAAATATGCAAAAAAGGCATTTGAAAAACTTGTTTAGAAAGATATTTTAGGGTTGTCTACAAGCAAATACAGCAAAAAATTTAATTCCTTATTTTTCGCCATGGAAATAAAAGTTTTTTTAGTTAAGTCCAAAGTGACAGCATCTTTCTTCTTGGACAATTCATCCAGTTTTTGTGTTTTATAAATTTCCAATTGTAGATTTCTAACTTCGTAAGTTAGTGTGTGCAATGCTTTGTTGCCGCGTCCAACCTCGATAATGCCGCTCTTTCTGCTCAGGGACAAATATGAGAACTTATATGTGTAGAGTTTCATAAATTCTGAAGTTACTATGTTCCCTAGAATATGATTCGGAAACGTCTCTTGAAATTGTCCATTGTCCATTATATTCTCAAGTCGTTTTTGCGGGTATACCAAAAATAAACTAAAGCTCATATCTTGCGACTGTGAAGCGAACGCAGCACAGCTAGTTTCCTATATTATTCGATTGAAAATTACCTACCGCACTGGGGACTCGATCGGAACAGAAAAAAGAAAGTTCTCGAAGCGTTCTGAATTACTATCACCTGCAAGAACCAGAAAAATATTAAATCTAAAATCGACAGAGACACCAAGCTACCAGAAAATGATTCTTATACATTGTTTTATGTAGTGAACATTATGGTGGACACTGTCTAACATCATCGCACCTTTTTATTTATGTACATACACTGCTTGTATACGTTATAATAAATGTGTTATTCTATAAGATTTCTTGGGAGATTTTTTTTTTATTGAGACTTAATGGTTTTACTGTGAATTACTTTTAGTTTTTGTTGTAAAATATCTCGTATTTTTGGTTATATTGAATATTTTGTTTAGTATTTTATTAGGAAGTTATTTTAGTTATATTTTTTTGTAATTTTTTTTTGGGCGGTCTTATTTTTTGTACAGAATGATTGAAATGGGTAGGTGTTTTCTAAGTATAAGGAAAGTTTGCATAATTCATTATTTATAGGATATTGTGACATCGAAACGAATGTCGATAATGGGCTCTTTCACTAAAATTTAAATACGTAATTTAAGTATAAAATCCCAAAGGAGGGACTATTTCAGGCATATATACCAAAAAAAAAAAGTTCTACAAGGTTAAATAAGTTTTTTACAGGCATTTTAAACTACCAAAATTTAAATTAATGAAAAACGCGCCGATTTGCTGACGTCGCATAAATATTTTTCATTTGGCTTGTTGTCGCAAAGAGCTGACCGCCACGGCTGTATTTACCCTGTAGTAAATGCAGGTAAAGGTTCCAATGCGCTGTTGTCGGTGGTGACTAAATGTAGTGCAACGTAAAATAAATAAATAAAACTAAACATAAAAAATTATAATAAATTGTGTTTAAGCATAATTTCAATAAAAATGTTACAAAATCTTGAATCCATAACTAATTAATTTAACTACTTTTCATGATATTTTGCGAACATTTCAGAATTAAATCTATTACAAATTTTCAATGTTGACAATTAGTGGCAACACGGTCAAATTGCGAGCTGCGACGTCATAGAAATAAATTCTGGGTTTTTATTTGGAGGTATTTCTTTTTTTTTCTGTTTTCTCAAGAAGTACTATGAATTTTTCAAAAGTAAAAATACAGAAAATTCTGTTTTTAGTTGCTTTATCCAAATATGCCAATTTCAAAAATTAGTGAAAGAGCCCATTATTTTTTTCTGCTAATAATTATTAAAACGCATTTTTGATTTGATTTCGAATACCACAATCCGCTACGCTTCTTTAGGGTGACGTCATAAATTGACATTCTGTATCTGAACAAACTTTCAGTCTGTTTTAATTTACACTTCTCTCTAACATTGTAATGGTTGCATCCACTCGATGCCTGATGCTTGATGACTGAATTAATTCGCTTTAAGTAATGTTTAGCTTTTTTAATTTGACACTTTTTGTACGAGGAGCTAGGCAAAGTATAATACAGCAAAAACAGCTCACATTCCTTTGGAGTATCAGATTATGAAAGTCGGACTGTACTGAGAGTTGTCAGTAAACAAACACTTGCGTCTTCGCGGGCATTTTTGGATTCCGCATGATCCATATAGGTATTCATATTCAATTTAAAAGTTGGGAATTTTTTAAAATATTTTTGAGTTTTATCGTCTGTTATACAATTTACAGTGTGGTAAATTTTAATGGCATGCAAACGTTTCAATTAAAATTGATGAAAAATTTCCTTGAAACATCTGAAAATATGTCATTAAAATTGAACACACTGTAAATTTTTTTTAAGGTCTGCAAAACAAAATTTTGGGCTAACTCTGTGAAATATACTAATTACATATTTCATTTCTTGGGTAAAACACCCATTTTGTGTACATACATAGTCTAATAATTCTAGCAATAGTAATTCTGCTGTTTGGCTATATGTATTTTTAGTGGGTTTAATTTATAAAATCTATATTATATATGTATGTAATAACTAGCTAATTTTTTTGTATATAATATGCGTAATAAATACATGAGCAAGGTTAATTATTGTATTATAACAGTTTTGGATTTTTTGTGTTTATTCTATTAATAAAACTCATTTTTAAACATATATTCTCTTTGTTTCCTTTATAGCTAGTATAATCAAATTAATTGTTCATAAGCTCATGTAAACTCCATTTACTTTTGGGTGTTATTTGGTTTGTTAGCTTCTTGTCCTTGGGAATTTGACAGAGTGACAATACAAGTAACATATAATATGATCTCTCATTCTGAAAGCACATTGGTTAAAAGATAGGCAATACCTTTGGCCAGACCATCCATGAGCTTGCTATAGTTTGGTAGATCGCACGACATTTTATTTTATTATATCCATAACGATCCTGTTTATGCTCCTTTTCTCTGAACCTTGTACTTTTAACCTGTTTTGTTTAAAATATAAATAAGAAAATTTTCCATTTTTTACTTTTTTGACCTTTTCGAAGTAATATTAAAGGGGGTGTGCGCCAAAAATTAAAGTTTTAGTGTGAAAAAATCTAAGAATAACTGTTCAAACCTCGTTATTCTACGATAAACCATCGCTGAGATATACCGCTTTAAAGTGTGGACGACGCTCTCGTGACGTAACGAGAACTTCGTCCAGCCGCGCTCCGCATTGTTAATTTGATTGTTCCCGGCAAGCGTGAGTGGTTTTTGTTTAGATTATTGCAGGTAACACAGGAAAAACATATGTAAATTTAATTAACTCCACTTTCTCCTGCGTCGCTTGAGCTTTCGTGACGTCATAGGGTGAGGTGCGGTACCTTCATAGAGCCATATCTCCGGTATTATTTGTCATAGAGGGGTGCGGATTTCACTGTTATTCTTAGATTTTTTTTCTCTTTTTTTTGAGATGAAGTTATTTTTTTGGCGCACACCCCCTTTAATATGGCAACTATCTCTTGCCTATAATTAACTTTCTTCTAGACCGGTCTATATCTCTTCTGCCAATGCTGCATTTTCTCATGCTATACCTACCTTCATCTCTTCTTTAGCTCTTTTGCTGTGCTAGCATTGCGAAATTGCTTAGTATCTACAGAATTTCTAAATTCTGAGCTGAGTGACCAAGAATCTTGACAAACAAGGAATAAAGGAATTCCTAACCAAACTGGAATAAGGCAGACATAATGCAACAACATGCAAGACTGCACTATTTAAAGTATTACCATTATCAATTGAAAATCGCATCTCTATGGTGACTACTCAAAATTAGAAAAATACTCCTTATAATAATATAAAATAATTTTTATATTTTTATGTCATACCAGTACATTATTGTGTTTTTATACCTTAGATACCATCTATATAATTCATTACTTTATGCCCGTGCGGGCATAAAGTACACATTATGGCCCGCGCGGGCATAAAGTACACATTATGGCCCGCGCAGGCATGACATAAAAGTTTGTATGCACCACGGGTACTAATAGATATATACCCTCGGGCAACTTACGAACCCTCGGGCCAGAGGCCCTCGGCTTTGTAAGACTGTCGCCCTCGGGGCATAATCATCTACTTAGTACCCTTGATACATAAATAACTATTATGTCATACCAATACATTATTGTGTTTTTACACCTTAGATACCATTTACATAATTCATTACTTTATGCCCGTGCGGGCATCAACTATTAAAACCATATAATACCTTGGTTACGCAAAAAACAGTTTTCGATTAACTTATTCTTTGTTAACAAAATATAAATTTACGCTTATAAACATATTATTTTTGTCAAAAAATGATGATGTTTGCACACTGATGACAATTTGCGAAGTGACACTTTTTTCCCAGGTATTTATTATTCACAACCAATGAACAACTATAGTCAAAAACTGGAATGCGCACACATTGCCATATCTGCCAAAAAAATGTAGCCGTGAAAGACAGATGCCACAAAGGGGAATGTTGTTTTTTTCTGTTGCTCGCTGACATATGGCGTTTTGGAAAGTTTTGTCATATTTACCTTCACAGGTTTCATCAATTGGAATACGTATTGGAAGCAATTTCCGCCATTTAACATAATGAGTGCGACAAAAACAGGTATCCCCTCCGCAGCAGCGGCACTAGGCTTCACGTTCGTCAACATAGGCGGTTCTAGGTGGGGGCTTGGGGGGGCTAAGCCCCCCCAAATCTGGAATTAGCCCCCCCAAATTTAAATTAGTGATGAGTGGCAAAAGTTCGCAGTCCCTAAATAAAAAATATTCAAGCGTTAGGATTAATTAACTACATAATTTCAATAATTTCACGATAATCGCGGTTCTTTAAAATTAAGATTTTCTGAACAGAGCGAAGAATTAGCTTTGGCAGTCGACCAGTTTTTAGGTTTCAATTACCAAGATTCCTCGTACTTCATAGAATTTTATAGTTCCTCACTAAATATTAATAAAGACTCATTGAAAGCCGATATGACTGTCGCTAAAAACTCAATTAATAGTGTAGATATTACCCTAGAACAGCTACAAAAATCGGTTAACCAATCCACGTTTCCTAATGTGTATAAATTGATTCAAATAGCAATTATATTAGCAGTTTCATCTGCAACCTGCGAATTATCTTTTTTAACGATGCGTAGAGTCAAAATTTGGCTACGAATGTCGATGTTGCAGGATATAGCTTTATAAAAACCTTATTTTTGTAAAGAGTTTTTGTTTTTGTAAATTTAGTATATTTTTTTTAATGGAAAAGTAGTTATTATTGGCGCCAGTGGGATTTGAAACCATTTCTTTGGAAGAATATTGAAAATGTAACAGCGATTGTAGTTTCGAATCCCACTGATATCAAACATTTTTAAATTTAACTCTTTTTCTATTTCATAAATAGGTAAATCAAAAACAATTTTGACTAAATATTTATTAAAATATAAGGTTTTTGGGCGTGGCAGCCACCTCAGAGCGACCTTGGAGCACGGGCTTCAGCCCCCCCAGCACAGATGGGCTAGAACCGCCTATGTTCGTCAATATGTGTTAGCATTCCAATCTCTGGTTATAGTTCATTGGATAAAACCGAAAAACATCATTTGCACTCCCCAGAATGGCAGCTTCTAACATTTCTTCCATTACAATTGAGTGAACAATGCGACACTGACGCGAAAAATTGTCAAAACAGTGGAAATTTAACACGTTGTGCCATAATTCTTTTATATCCTACTGAACTATTAAAACCATATAATACCTTGGTTACGATAATCATAAACAGGGTCTTAACTCCCAAGGGAGTTAAGGAAGGGAGTTAAGGATATCATA